GATGGAAACCTACAATTGCCGAGCTCCTCGCTCTTGTTCATTGAAAGAACGTGTTTGGTGGGTGGTTTGACAAAGTGCCAGAGCTTACGACTGACTGTCACGGCGTTTGGAAAAGCCTTGACTTTGCAGAGTGAATGACAGTGGTCTGATGGAGTGGACAAAGCAGACAAGGTTCCACTAAGTAAAAAGACAGTGATCGGTTAGGATAACGAAAAGCTTTCACTCCTTCCTATCCATGAGGCGTCGTCTCTCTTCTCCCCACCAAACTAAAGGTCAATTTGATACTCAAAGAAAAGGTGTCAAATGCGACCTACCAGATGGTTTGATGAATAACAAAGGCAACATGCAAGGCAACAAAGGTTAATTTCATTCGGAAATCATTTTTTTGTTGGCAGATTTTTGTCATTGGATGGACTTAAGTTTATGCCCAAACCAACCAATAAGAGAAAGCGCAGCAAAAGGCCAAGCAGCGCCTCATCGGTGCGCGAGTGCTTTTCCAGAATTCCTTTAAATGCCCTCATCTATCGACGTGGTCATTAGAGGATGCGCTCAATTCAAGGATCCTCCAACTTGTCTCAATGGGAGCATCTGTGCGTCTCAAAGCCCTAACAGTGACTTTATTTACGCTATCGCAATTGTTGCAGCTGTTGTGTGTTGTGTTGGGGTGATAAACAATGTCGCTTGTCTCGCCGCCCTCCTCCTTCGTCACCGATTCACACGAGACACCACCCATCGTCTTGTTGTCACTGGCGCTTTTGTTGATTTTCTAGTGGTTCTTACCGGTCTTCTGATAAGTTTAGAGTCCTCTTTTCTCCCCTTGCGCTTATCGTCAACCTCCCACAGTAATGAACTGCTTCAGAGATCCACTTGCGCCATCATCAGTTGTCTCCACCTCTATCGAACCTGGGTGGCTCTGCTTATAGCTTTTGAACGCTACCTCCTCGTCCGTCGTCCTCTCTTCTTCCGTGCGCATTGGACCCTGACAACAGTAAATATTCTCCTCCTTGTATGCGCTGCTCTCGTACTCGCTACTCGTGCTCCACTGATCCTCAACGTGTTGCTCGATCGCGACATCTGGTATGTCTGCACACCTCTGGCACGCAGTATGAACACCTTCATCGACCTCCTCTTTCAAACAATCATTCCAATTATCATTTTACCTATCATGTCTATCGGAGTCTACATGACAATGCGAAAGAGTTTTCGATGGCGTGGCGGCGCCATCTGGACGATACCGACAACAGCAAAACACGAGTCCTGCAAAAAGACCGCCATGACTGTTCACAAGGCAACAATGACTGTACTCATGATATACATTATTCTCATGATACCCACACTGCCAGGTGGAGTACTTCGTCTCGTTATGTGGTTGGGTGGAATTAGAAGGAGATGCAAGGTACAGCTGGCAAAGGAGGCGATGGATGCAGTGGGGATTGTTTGTTCCCTTCTCATTTCCAGTGTAGACTTCTACATCTACCTTCTCTGTTGGCCACGATTTCAAAAGTTGTTTACACAACTTGTACCCATTCCCAAGTGCAAGTGTCACGGATCCACCAGAAAAGTAAGTTGCACCCGTCAGCAGAGCTGCTCCTCTCTCCACACCGCTCGAAGCATAATGTATGGAGAGACAAAGGCGTGACAGGCTGCCGCTTTTTTGCGTCTTCAACTATTTATGTATCTTTTGCATTCATTCTTACGTTACTATAAAAATTGCCTAAGAGTGTTCTCCTTCCGTAATTTGCCGAGATGTTGCCAAGGCGTAATGAGGTTACGGTTGAAGTCAAAACCCCATCTACACTCTCCACAGCCGCAGAACAATGAAAAAACATGTGAAGTTGTTGATTTCTTTTCTTTTGTTTGGGGTGAGACTGGTTTTAAGCACCACCGACTTTATCTGTGACCGAATAACTACTGAGATGGTCAAAAAAATGGCAAATGATGGAGTCATAGCAACCAATTAATGCATTTCAAACTCCCCGACTCCGCCCTTACGTCTTGTCGTTGTCACCTTAATAGATCAACCTCCTTCTTTGACCAACATGGGCCAAGCGCATCGCACACTGAATTTCCAGGCGAATGAGAGAATGCTTGACCATCGCATCACTTACCCCACTGGGGAACTCCAACTAACCCAAAGTTCTTCTCCTGACAGCAGCCATCACACATGTCCATAACCAGCGTAGATCCATAGGGATACAAT